CCCACCACACACACACTAGCTGCCCCGCCCCTCAGGACACTACACACTGCGTACCAGCCCCTCCCCACCACACACACACTAGCTGCCCCACCCCTACAGGGCACTACACACTGCGTACCAGCCCCTCCCCACCAATACACACACACACGAGCTGCCCCGCCCCTACAGGGCCCCGCTCACATACCAGGCACTACACACTGGTACCAGCCCTGCCCCACCAACACACACACACACACGTGTCCTCACATGCACCAAGGCCCCACTTCCCCCTCAGGGTACCAGCCCTGCCGCTCACACGCGCCAGGTGTCCACACGCACACCAAGCTGCCCCCACACACACAAACTGGTCACCTGCTCACCCCTACATGCACATAGGGCACCAGCCCCCCTCCCTTCCTGGCCGTACACACCCAGAGCACCAGCCCTGTGCAAGCAGTGCACCCCCCAGGCATCCGCCTCTTGCCTACACCCCCTCCGCCCATTGTACCTCCTCCTTTCACCCCCCGCCCCACTCCACAGGCAGTATCTGCCTCTCACTCTCTCTGTCTCACACACACATGGCCCATTCTCTATCCCTTCTCTCACACCAGGGGTTATCAGCCCCTACCAGGCATTGTTCCCCTTTGCCCCACTCATGCATACTCCCCAGGCACCAGCACCCCCTCCTGCTCTCTCCCGCACACACAGGGCAGCGGCCCTTCCACCCCTTTTCACAGGCAGCACATATCCCTTTGCACACACACACGCCAGGCACCTGACGCCACCTGTCACGGTCCCTGTACACACACAGATGCATAAAGCCCCCTCCCTCCACCACTCTACTAGCCCCACTGCCCTCTGCACACACACCATCCTCCATGATTTTCACGTCTGGTTCTTAGTTCCTTAGCACTTCCACAACTCAAAGAATTTTCATCCCTGAGAGCAACAGCAATGCCCTCCATACAGCTTGATGCACATTAGTCACAACCAACATTTCAGGGCCTGTCTTTCAAAACCAGCAATTAATTCATGTATTTTACATGCAATTTGCTATAGGAACAGTATAGTGAGCATAATTTATTGCACATGCAAAACTCACACCTGCAAAAAGAAAGGCCCTGATTGAAAAACAACTCTTAGATGGAGATCTGTAGTATGGCACAATGCTTTCATCGGATGTGTTCCAGGAAGCTTAGGTATAGTTATTGTATATTTCAGCTTTACCTTAGAATTTACTTTAAAAAAACAAAACACAGCACTTTAATGATACCTCAATATGTTTTGTTTTTTTAATATCAGAAGGATACCGGATCTCTATAAGAAAGTAAGGGTATGCCTACACAGCAACTAGCCACCGGTGGCTGGCCCATGCTAGCTGACTCAGGCTCTCACTGCAGGGGTGTTTCATTGTTGTGTATAAAGAAAAGGAGTACTTGTGGCACCTTAGAGACTAACCAATTTATTTGAGCATGAGCTTTCGTGAGCTACAGCTCACGAAAGCTCATGCTCAAATAAATTGGTTAGTCTCTAAGGTGCCACAAGTACTCCTTTTCTTTTTGCAAATACAGACTAACACGGCTGTTCCTCTGAAACCTGTCATTGTTGTGTATATTTGCTAGCTCGGGCTGGAGCCTAGGCTCCCAGAGCCTCTCACCTCACAGGCTGCCGGAGCTTCGGCTCCAGCCTGAACTTGGAAGTCTGCACAATAATGAAACAGGCCTGCGAGCCTGAGTAGGCTGGCACAGGCCAGCTGCAGGTGTCTAGTTGGGGAGTAGACATACTCTAAGATTGAGGCTGTCATAAATATAAAGGGAAGGGTAACCACCTTTCTGTATACAGAACTATAAAATCCCTCCTGGCCAGAGGCAAAACTCTTCACCTGGAAAGGGTTAAGAAGCTAGGATAACATCGCTGGCTCCTGACCAAAGTGACCAACGAGGAGACAAGATACTTTCAAAGCTGGAGAGGGGGAGAGGGGAACAAAGGGTCTGTCTGTCTGGATGACGCTTTTGTGGGGGAACAGATCAGGAATGCAGGTCAGAACTCCTGTAAAAAGTTAGTAAGTAATCTAGCTAGAAATGCGTTAGATTTCTTTTGTTTAATGGCTGGTAAAATAGCTGTGCTGAAGGGAATGTATATTCCTGTTTTTGTGTCTTTTTGTAACTTAAGGTTTTGCCTAGAGGGATTCTCTGTTTTGAATCTGATTACCCTGTAAGGTATTTACCATCCTGATTTTACAGAGGTGATTCTTTTACTTTTTCTTTAATTAAAATTTTTCTTTTAAGAACCTCTTTGCTTTTTCATTGTTCTTAAGATCCAAGGGTTTGGGTCTGTGTTCACCTGTACAAATTGGTGAGGATTTTTATCAAGTCTTCCCCAGGAAAGGGGGTGAAGGGCTTGGGGGGAAGACATCTCCAAGTGGGCTCTTTCCCTGTTCTTTGTTTAACATGCTTGGTGGTGGCAGCATAGGGTTCAAGGACAAGGCAAAGTTTGTACCTTGAGGAAGTTTTTAACCTCAGCTGGTAAGAATAAGCTTAGGGGGTCTTCATGCAGGTCCCCGTATCTGTACCCTAGAGTTCAGAGTGGGGAAGGAACCTTTACAGAGGCATTTTAGGGATCACCTGTGGAATGTAGAGGAATACATATATGAAGTATGTTTAAGCCAGAACCTGTTGCAGTTAGGATTGAGAAATACAGCCATTTTAAATCAGAATGTAAGACTAAAAATACCTATTTCAATTGTAACATTGTGGCCTGCTGTTATTGATTAGGCATGTGTCCTTGAGAAAGACTTCAGGCAAACCACATATTGATTCTCCTAATTCTCCACGTGCTATTTCATCTGCATGTTTTTGTGGGAGTTTTGCCAAGTGATCCAAAAAACCCACAACCTACACATAAACAGTGTATTTTAATAAAATTTAATCCAATAAAATCTGCAAAATTCAGTTCTGTGCATTTGCACTACAGCCTATAATCATTGGCAAAGATTTGTTTAAATAAGGTAAAAGCCATGATACAAAACAAATAAAGTTAAATCTGCTACTGTCAATGGCCCATGCTGTTGTGGAAGAATGGGGAGAGAAATACAACAACATAAATTTAAGAATGTTAACTGTGGCTTTGAAATTCTCAGCTTTTATATTAACATTATGTGCTTAATATTATTTAAATAGGGAGGTTCTTCATCTCTGAATTTCCTTTCTGAGGGCTAAGTAGATCTATTCATTTATGTATGAATCTCAGTGACATTCTAGAATTTTCAGAAGCCTTCATGACCCTTTGCTAACTTCCAGCACTAAGCAGCTGACCTTCCAGTGATCTGCCGCACATCATCCATCCATCTCCTTGCTAGTTGTCCTCTACTACAATGATTCTCCACCATTCCTTCCATAATAATTTTTCAAGGTTATTTCTCTCTCTATCCCTAATGTGATCAAAGTATTTAAGCACCCAGAAAAAAGGGATGCAGTTCTTTCATGGATGGCAGCTGCTAAACAAACTAACATGGTTGCTCCAGACTTTCAGTAGAACTTATATATGAGCTTTTAAGGCAAGCAAGACTGTCTCTCATCATGGCTCAAATTTTTACAGGAATTCAAGTGTTGTATCAACGTTGCAACACCTGAATCAGAGCCTGAATCTCATTTTCAAAAGGAATTTAGGCACTTGTGGTCTTGAAAAATCTGAGCCTCTACACACTATTGTAATGTTGCTACTCATAATCACCAAGAAATTTTCCTTTAGGAAAGAGGGAGTGGTCTAGGGATGGGTGCCACCAACCTCAACTGGAGAAAACGGACTAGTACCGTTATTAGTCCCGCTTTCTTTCAGCCTTGATTGACCCACCTTATCACACTGTGGTTTGCTGAGCAGAGTTCGGGTGCATTTTGTACTAAAAGGAAGTAGTAAAAAAAAAAGATCTTTTTTGTTCATATTAAGCTAACAATGTTCCTCTAATAGATCCTTCTTACAGCAAATGAATGGTATTATATTGTTAAGCAGGGCCACAAATCATGCACTTAAATGATAGGTAAAAAGAACAGATTCTCTGAGATTCCCTCTGGACATGGAGATTATGTTAGACCCTTTCTAACAAGAACCACATTTAGGTATGGTTTGCTAGAAAGGGTATAACACTTTTTGTGACTTTTCTAGTAGATATTTCTGTATTGGCCAAAGCATTATATGGTGTATAGTAGAAGATACTGATTCATCTCCAACAAATACAATTTGTGGTCCTTGGTAAGAGGAAAAATGTATCACACCCTTAAGAAGATGAGAGATTATTCAAAACAGTTGGTCAAACTTTCATGCATATTATAAGTGGAGATGAGGCATCAGGAAGATATTGAAATTAGGATTTCTAGCTTCATCTGCAGGGATCAGTAGAATTACAAGAATGGGAAACCTTTGGGCAGTGATGGAGTATTTGGACTGGCAGAGAATGCTGGACCCTTATGGTGTCTGAGGAAAAATGGACAAAAAGCTTTTATACTTAAAGAGGAAATAGAATCGGGGAGTCGTTACTGGGAGCTGACAGAAATAAGTATTCTCTGGATACTGAAAAGATATAATCTGCACTGAGACCTAGCTGTGCAGAAAAAGTGACTGAATGCTCCGTTTCTCTCACACTGTAGTGTTATTTCCAGGCTGTGATAGAAATCCTCTAGGGGGAGTCAGAAAATGGTTTTAAAGACTTCCCTTTAGATAATATCAGAAGATCAAGGGACTGTGAGACATTCTACAAAAAATGATCAATTTAAAAAAAATATAAGAATAATTAAAAAGGTCCCTTTTGTTAATGAGGAATATTTTAAGAAGAAACAGGGGCATTAGGCTTATAAACCAAACAGAACCATTAACATAATAAAGGCAAAGTCTCATATGCTAAGCTGCAGACCAAAAGGGAATCTGCCCCCTTTGACTACTTCAAAGACAGACATTTTCACCTGTCAAGAGATTTTTGGAAATGAAATCCATACAAGCCAAGAGAGCTTCAGGGTTCAAAGACTTACAGTGACACTGCCAGGGTGAGAGTAGCCAGAACAAAGTGAAGGAGTGGGAGGTGGAGGGTCAGCCAGCCAAGGTCAGGATTGTCAGTCTGCAGAAATACAAGATACGCCATTTTAGAGATGCTTGCATCAGCACTTCCAGCTTCCTGGTTAAGTCACCAGATACATAAGTACAGTAAATATTTAATTAGATAGAAGTTTGGCTAATATAACACTGCTGTGTGTTTACTGAATTAAAATTAATTGTAAGTTACAACCATTGTAAATCTTTAGAGGGAATTTAGGCTCTGTTTTTACAAAGAATTTTGGGCAGTGAAATTATATCCAGAAGTTATCATTCCAAGGATAGGTTAAAACTGTGTTCTCATTAACTGGTTTAAGGATCTGATCTTGCAAGCACCTATGTAGCTGTTTTATGCATGTTAGTAGTTCCATTGAAGTCAACGGAATTACATGTGTACAGAGAAAGTTAGAGAGAGAGAATTTCCATAAAGATGAGCAATATTTAGAGATTAATCTGACTTCATCAGTTTCAAGTGCCTCTCGTCTCATGGACTTATCCAGACTATTCCCAGTGGTAGATGGCAGCAGAGTAAACTAGACTGGTTAATAGAGGCATCTATCTTAGGCACCTATCTGGCTCCCATCATTATGGTATCTCCCAACACCCCTATGCGGGAGGGAAATACTATTATCCCCATTTTACAGATAGGGAACTAAGGCACAGAGCAGCTTGACTTGGCTGAGGTCACACAGAAAGTCTATGGCAGAGCAGGGAATCGAACTGAAGTCTTCTAAATCCTGGGCTAGTGACCTAACTGCTGGACCATCCTTCCCCTGTCAAACAAATGGAAGTAACTGAGCACTGATTTGTAATTACTGTCAGTGTGAGGCCATGTCTACGCTACCAACTAAAGCAGCTCTGCTGCGATCGATGGTGAAAAATGCTAGTATCATTCTGGGATGTATTAACAGGAGTGTCATATGTGTGACGAAACATGGGATTTTCTTAGTGCTTGGCATGAATATGGTGGGGGTCTAACTTTTCCCTGTGTGCTGCGTGCTTAGCGAGGTGGTGGGAGAGAGGGTTTGTTGTTGCAAAGGACCAGGTGTGATCTCGCCTAGCAGTTGGGACCCTGGACAACAGACTGGAGATTGGGTACCTTAGCAACTGGTGACCAGGAGGCCCACTCCATCTTGGCAGCCAGCCGGTTCTGGCCAGTGGGAGGACAAAAGTCTGAAGAGGGAGGACCCCGGTGACCTGACCAGCCAGTTCCAGGCAGTGGGGGAACAAAGGACGGAAGAGAGGAGGCCCAGGCGGCCTGTTTACCTGGGACCGAAGACAAAAGGATGGGGGAGGAGCTGTTGGAGGAGATGATACAGGATGGTCAGCTGGAAGGAGGGGGCAGCTGTACTGGGAAGAGACCAGAGCCCACCTGGATACGGGAGAGACCTAGATGTACTGTGCTGAGGGATGCTAGGCCTGAGGACCCTGAGAGCTTCCTATGCTGTGTTCAGATGTTCAATAAACCCTTCCGTTTTACGCTGGCTGAGAGTTACTGCAGTCTAAAGATCGGGGTTGCATTATTCCCTCTGGGAGTGGAGGCCCCAGGGGTCCAGAGTGAGTGGATCCCCTGAGGGGGCTCACAGCAAGAGACAGGAGTGCTTAAGGCTCAGAGAGGTGCACTTCCAGGAGGCGGAGGGGCCTATGGTTTAACCTCCAAGAGAGAGTGGACCCCCGTAAAGGGCTGTAACGCTGAAGGGGGTTCCCATACGGAGCGGAGAGACAGCACAAGTCCTGTGAGACTGTGACAATATGTAAGACACAGAAGACGCTACTCACTATCAGTGAGACCTCAGTTGTCTCCAGCTCTAGGTGACAAACATTAGGAAAGATGTCCAGAGAAGAGCTTAAAAAAAAAAAAAAAAAAGACGTAAGGTTTAGAAAAGTTAACCAAGAAGAAAGGTTATTTTAAAAAAAAACTGAGCATGTTTAGTCTTGAGAAAAGACGACCAAATATGTTAAGGACTGTTTAAAAAAGGCAGCAATCAATTATTCTCCAGGTGCACTGAAGCTAGGACAAGAAGTAACTGGCTTAATCTGAAGCAAGGGAGATTTAGGATGAATATTAGCCCTGGTCTACACTAGGACTTTAGGTCGAATTTAGCAGCATTAAATCGATGTAAACCTGCACCCGTCCACATGATGAAGCCCTTTATTTTGACTTAAAGGGCTCTTAAAATCGATTTCCTTACTCCACCCGAAAAGTGGATTAGCGCTTAAATCGGCCTTGCCGGCTCGAATTTGGGGTACTGTGGACACAATTCGACAGTATTGGCCTCCGGGAGCTATCCCAGAGTGCCCCATTGTGACCGCTCTGGACAGCACTCTCAACTCAGATGCACTGGCCAGGTAGACAGGAAAAGAACCGCGAACTTTTGAATCTCATTTCCTGTTTGGCCAGCGTGGCAAGCTGCAGGTGACCATGCAGAGCTCATCAGCAGAGGTGACCATGGTGGAGTCCCAGAATCGCAAAAGAGCTCCAGCATGGACCGAACGGGAGGTACGGGATCTGATTGCTGTATGGGGAGAGGAATCCATGCTATCAGAACTCCATTCCAGTTTTTGAAATGCCAAAACCTTTGTCAAAATCTCCCAGGGCATGAAGGACAGAGGCCATAACAGGGACCCGAAGCAGTGCCGCGTGAAACTGAAGGAGCTGAGGCAAGCCTAACAGAAAACCAGAGAGGCAAACGGCCGCTCCGGGTCAGAGCCCCAAACATGCCGCTTCTATGATGAGCTGCATGCCATTTTAGGGGGTTCAGCTACCACTACCCCAGCTGTGTTGTTTGACTCCTTCAATGGAGATGGAGGCAATATGGAAGCAGGTTTTGGGGACGAAGAAGATGATAGCTCACAGCAAGCAAGCGGAGAAACTGGTTTTCCCGACAGCCAGGAACTGTTTCTCACCCTGGACCTGGAGCCAGTACCCCCGGAACCCACCCAAGGCTGCCTCCTGGACCCAGCAGGCGGAGAAGGGACCTCCGGTGAGTGTACCTTTTAAAATACTATACACGGTCTAAAAGCAAGCATGTGAACGGATTACTTTGCCCTGGCATTCGCGGCTCTCCTGGATGTACTCCCAAAGCCTTTGCAAAAGGTTTCTGGGGAGGGCAGCCTTATTGCGTCCTTCATGGTAGGACACTTTACCACTCCAGGCCAGTAACACATACTCGGGAATCATTGTACAACAAAGCATTGCAGTGTATGTTTGCTGGCGTTCAAACAACATCCATTCTTTATCTCTCTGTGTTATCCTCAGGAGAGTGAGATATAATTCATGGTCACCTGGTTGAAATAGAGTGCTTTTCTTCAGGGGACACTCAGAGGAGCCCATTCCTGCTGGGCTGTTTGCCTGTGGCTAAACAGAAATGTTCCCTGCTGTTAGCCACAGGGAGGGGGAGGGTTGAGGGGGTGGCCACGTGGTGGGGGGAGGCAAAATGTGACCTTGTAACGAAAGCACATGTGCTATGTATGTAATGTTAACAGCAAGGTTTACCCTGAAAGAGTGTAGCCACTGTTTTATAAAATGTGTCTTTTTAAATACCACTGTCCCTTTTTTTTTTCCCTCCACCAGCTGTATGTGTCTCAATGATCCCAGGATCTTCTCCTTCCCAGAGGCTAGTGAAGCTTAGAAAGAAAAAAAAAAACGCACTCGAGATGAAATGTTCTCCGAGCTCATGCTGTCCTCCCACACTGACAGAGCACAGACGAATGCGTGGAGGCAAATAATGTCAGAGTGCAGGAAAGCACAAAATGACCGGGAGGAGAGGTGGGGGGCTGAAGACAGGGCTGAAGCTCAAATGTGGCGGCAGCGTGATGAGAGGAGGCAGGATTCAATGCTGAGGCTGCTGGAGGACCAAACCAGTATGCTCCAGTGTATGGTTGAGCTGCAGCAAAGGCAGCTGGAGCACAGACTGCCACTACAGCCCCTGTATAACCAATCGCCCTCCTCCCCAAGTTCCATAGCCTCCACACCCAGACGCCCAAGAACGCGGTGGGGGGGCCACCAGCCAACCAGCCACTCCGCCACAGAGGATTGCCCAAAACAAAGAAGGCTGTCATTCAATAAATGTTAAAGTTGTAAACTTTTAAAATGCTGTGTGGCATTTTCCTTCCCTCCTCCACCACCCCTCCTGGGCTACCTTGGTAGTCATCCCCCTATTTGTGTGATGAATGAATAAAGAATGCATGAATGTGAAGCAACAATGACTTTATTGCCTCTGCAAGCGGTGATTGAAGGGAGGAGGGGCGGGTGGTTAGCTTACAGGGAAGTAGAGTGAACCAAGGGGCGGGGGGGTTCATCAAGGAGAAACAAACAGAACTTTCACACCGTAGCCTGGCCAGTCATGAAACTGTTTTTCAAAGCTTCTCTGATGCGTACCGCACCCTCCTGTGCTCTTCTAACCGCCCTGGTGTCTGGCTGCGCGTAACCAGCAGCCAGGCGATTTGCCTCAACCTCCCACCCCGCCATAAACGTCTCCCCCTTACTCTCACAGATATTGTGGAGCACACAGCAAGCAGTAATAACAGTGGGAATATTGGTTTCGCTGAGGTCTAAGCGAGTCAGTAAACTGCGCCAGCGCGCCTTTAAACGTCCAAATGCACATTCTACCACCATTCTGCACTTGCTCAGCCTGTAGTTGAACAGCTCCTGACTACTGTCCAGGCTGCCTGTATACGGCTTCATGAGCCATGGCATTAAGGGGTAGGCTGGGTTCCCAAGGATACATATAGGCATTTCAACATCCCCAACGGTTATTTTCTGGTCTGGGAATAAAGTCCCTTCCTGCAGCTTTTGAAACAGACCAGACCAGAGTTCCTGAAGATGCAAGCGTCATGTACCTTTCCCGGCCATCCCACGTTGATGTTGGTGAAACGTCCCTTGTGATCCACCAGAGCTTGCAGCACTATCGAAAAGTACCCCTTGCGGTTTATGTACTCGGCGGCTTGGTGCTCCGGTGCCAAGATAGGGATATGGGTTCCGTCTATGGCCCCACCACAGTTAGGGAATCCCATTGCAG